GTGACGTAGATATGTGGGGGCGTGTTAGAACGAGCCGTTTTAGGTAGGTGTGGCTGACTCTTAACTTTTATAAAGAATATCTATTTGGATTTGAGACTTTAGTCTTTGCAACTTTACAGATCTTCTTTATGCACCAAGAGCTTGTAACACTCCAAAGAGAAAGGACCCCATCATATGACCCCTTTAAGTACATCTTTATAAGTAATTTCATAATTCTGTTGCTTTTAAAAAATGTGTGCTGCCGAATTTACTGATAAGCATTACTATTTTCAGACACTTACTTATAAATTTAAACTACACTATATTGAATTGCATTAAATGCACTTAGTTTACCTTAAGAGTGTTTTAACCCACTTAATTAAAACTTCAGTTAAGTATGTATTTCATAATCACTTTTATTGTCTTATAGACGGTTCAAGCATTTATGGTAAACTAAAATATACTTCAATGTCATTTCTATTGAAACTTACATGTCATGTATTTAAATATATTTGTAAGTTGCAATTTAATACATTTTAAATATATATAACAGAGTTTACTATGAGTACTTTTCATGTTAATCAACACATCAAAATAAGTGTGCTGATTACTAAAGATGATTAAAACAATGATTTACAGCAAAACCTTTAATTTGACATTATTACAAAGTGCACTTTTTAAAAGTGTTAAGAAACAGTCATGAAAGTCTACACTCATTAAGTCCACAGAAGTGTTTCATTCCTTTATTATCTGCAAGTACAAGTTATTTTTTTTTAAATGCATTTTTAGGATTATAATTAGGTGCACTTCTTTTTCACAAGGATATATGCTGTCAAAATAACAGCATTGCTGTAATTACATCAGAATCAATTATTCTGGACTTCATTTTTATTCTGCCTAATTTAATAGTGCAGTCACATCCATAGCCTAAAGGACTTTCGTTTCCACATAGAGCAACAGTTGGGAGAATTATTTGTCAACCAATCACTGGAGTTCTATGATGCCGTGAAGCTGACCAATGACAGCAACCAAAACATGGAACTCATCAATCAATGGGTGGCACAGAAGACAAACAAGAAAATCACTGAATTAATTGATTATGTGGATCCCGCCACCTCATTTGTTCTGTTAAATGCCGTCTACTTTAATGGTAAGTGACATTATATATCTGAATACTGTACCGGTGTAGTTTTTATGACACTGACTGTGTTTGTGTTTCTTTGTTTTTACAGGTAAATGGAAGACCGTTTTTGAATCCTCAAATAAATGGGAAAACTTCATGAAGGTTTCAGGTGAGGTCATAGAAGTGCCAACTCTCTACAGCTCCAAGTACAACCTTCAAATGGGCTACAACAAAAAATTACAGGCTGAGGTAAGTGTCGCAATTAATGTACAAAGGTCATTGTCAGGAAGCTGTGCCATTTGCATTTGAGAACATTTGACTTGATATTGATATTATTAACCAGATACTGAACTTCGTTATATCATATTAGAGATTTACCTTGTTTAGTGTATAAGGCAAATTAATATAAAACATAGTTTGTTTGTCTCTTCAGATTATCAGACAATTTGCATGCCAACTTTTTCACCATATCTAAAAATTATATTTAAAAAAGTGCTTTGATCTTTCATCAGTGAGACCATGTAATATATTTTACATAGTTCAGAGGCAAGTTTCTTCTCATCAAGCTCTATTATGGGAAAAAATATCAAAGATGAAAAAAAAATATATATAATAATAATTTGGCAAGAAACAGAATAATATTCCCTAGATACTTGTGTGGTGTAGATCAAGAAGTATTGACATCCTATAGATAGATAAATAATAAATTTAAAGCAGATAAATAAAAATTTAATAAAAAATGTTAAATTAAATAAAAAATATATAATTCAATATAGAAATATTTAAATAATAAAATATAATTAAAAGAAAAAAAATCCTTAATTTTACATTACAACAATGACACCATTTCCTGAAAATGAACTACAAGCACTTGTACTGTATTTGTACAAATACAAACACATACATTGTAGAACTATTTCTGCAGGTCGGAAAGTTCCCTCTTACGGGCAAAAACAGCCTGTACATACTGATCCCGCACAACGTCAGAAGAATCTTTTGTATTGATGGAAAATAATTTAAACGGAGAGTCCATTGAAGCAATGGTTTCTGAGATGAATACAATCCCATCCTAAACTGCTGAGGTCATACTGCCTAAAATTAAACTGACAGTGGACACACCATTAGAGGGCTTACTGAGGAATCTGGGTAAGTATGTCTTTTTTTTTACTCCAAAATGCTGGAAAGTGCTAGAATGTGACATTTAAAGGGAAAGTTTACACAAAACTAAAATTCTGTCATCGTTTACTCATCTCATTCCAAACCTGTATGCTGTTTTCTCAGTAGAACACAAAAGGAGATTTTTTTTTTTTAGATAAATAAAAATTTAATAAAAAATGTTAAATTAAATAAAAAATATATAATTCAATATAGAAATATTTAAATAATAAAATATAATTAAAAGAAAAAAAATCCTTAATTTTACATTACAACAATGACACCATTTCCTGAAAATGAACTACAAGCACTTGTACTGTATTTGTACAAATACAAACACATACATTGTAGAACTATTTCTGCAGGTCGGAAAGTTCCCTCTTACGGGCAAAAACAGCCTGTACATACTGATCCCGCACAACGTCAGAAGAATCTTTTGTATTGATGGAAAATAATATAAACGGAGAGTCCATTGAAGCAATGGTTTCTGAGATGAATACAATCCCATCCTAAACCGCTGAGGTCATACTGCCTAAAATTAAACTGACAGTGGACACACCATTAGAGGGCTTACTGAGGAATCTGGGTAAGTATGTTATTTTTTTTTACTCCAAAATGCTGGAAAGTGCTAGAATGTGACATTTAAAGGGAAAGTTTACACAAAACTAAAATTCTGTCATTGTTTACTCATCTCATTCCAAACCTGTATGCTGTTTTCTCAGTAGAACACAAAAGGCTACATACAGAATACTATTTGACATGTGATATTTCAGTTTTTCTTTTTTAATAAATCTGCAAAAATGTCAACAATTCTGTGTTTTTCTGTCAATATGGTGTGCTGTGTGTACATTAATGAGGAAAAAATATTAACTTAAATGATTTTAGCAAATGGCTGCAATATAACAAAGAGTGAAAAATGTAAGGGGGTCTGAATACTTTCCGTACCCACTGTATATACACGATCCCATTTTCCATACAACATACATATTACCAGAAAATCCTGCACTACAAGATATTCCAAGTCACAGTTTAACTTTTTGAGAAGAAAATCAGGAATGAGATGAGTGAATCATTATTCACTGAAAATCTTCTGAAACATTTCGGCCTGGTTCTCACTCAAAGCTATGATATGTCTTCAGATAACTTAGAATTTAGTGCAAGAGTCATATGGACTATTTTTATTATATGTTTATAATTTTATGGTGCTTTTAGTCCTTTTTGGCAACAATGAATGGTTCTTTGTATAAAAAGGAAGCATTTACACTTTAAAAGTTCTCATTTTGTATAAATCTCATTTTTGAAAGAAAAACAAACAAAACAAAAAAACAGCACGTGGATTTGGAACAAATGTGGATGAGTAAATCCTGACAGAATTCTCCTCACCTCTCCTCAGGTTTGTCAGATCTCTTCTTAAAGCCTGACTTGTGTGGAATATTTCCGGGGGAATCTAAATCATTTATCTCAGACATTCGTCATAGTGCCTTTCTCTCGCTGACCGAGAAGGGAGTGGAGGCCGTAGCAGCCACAAGCATCTCTTTTTCTCGCTGCTCCTCTTCTTTCGCGGCTCTACAGCCCTTCGTTCTGATACTGTGAAGCGATGAGGCTGGCGCTCCTCTATTCATGGGAAGAATAATTAATCCATAAAAAGAGAGAGATAAAAAAAGACATCACAACAGTGTTTCGCCACAAAAAAAAATAATGAAACTTTCTGTTCTACATTCATTCATTTATCACAAACAAATGCATTTATGTAACAATATCATGTTATGCATAGAATTAGAATGCATGCAGAACCTCGGTCATTAAAGATGAACTTTACATCATGCATTCGTTATTTATTTTCCATTACATGACAAGAAATCTGTTGCATGTATGAAAGACCTTTATAAGACTTGAATGCACAAAACTCGCTCCCATTTCCAACAGCCACCGTTGCACCAATTTATTTCGGAGATGCAGTTACAGAGACCGACAAACGATGGCAGTCACATCACATGTTCCACACAGACAGTCAATGAGGACATGTGAGCGAGACTTATGTTTGGCTGGCAGGTGGTGCCAGTCCATTATCTGAATGCCATGCTGTTCCATCAAAGGTAGCCTGGATTGTCCCAGTTCACTGAGCAAAATCAAATACCCTTAGATGGACCCATTTATGGATATTACGACAAACATAAGCACTGCAGATCGGTGGTCCATCAAAGCATATGTGACATTCACTTGGCATGCAGCTGATTAGAATACATTTTTTATAATTATACACCATTTAGGCCATTAATTTGATAACTCAAAAGCTGATTAGAATACATTTTTTATAATTATACACCATTTAGGCCATTAATTTGATAACTCAAAATTAACCCCCCCCCCCGGAACTCCAAGTTTGGAATGAGGGATGAGGGCCATGAAAGGACGAGGTTAACAATACGTTTTTGTGCAATTAAATGCCTAAAATGTCAAGGCTAGATGAAAAGTTGATGATTTGAATGTTATAAATAGCTAATAAATGCTATCACATGGATACGATTATAGCCAAAATCCCCACGCATGGCAAGAAATGTGCATCTTTTCACAGAGCTAACTGTCAGGACGACAAAGCAAATCAACCCAGATTTTGTGTTCTGACTCTTGTGCGACCCAAAGTTGTCCTTGACAGGTAGTTTGTCCTTCAAAGGCTTTGTTTGATTGCTAATTTAACCCCTAATGGGGCGTGCAGTTGTGCATGAGGCCTGCCAGAGGCGATTCACCCTCTGTACTGGCGGTTAGACCTCTAAACCAGTAGAGGGTGCCGGAGAGAAAGCGAAAAAGTCTGTCAATGTGCATCAGCACATTTTTTTTTGTAGACTATACAAACATTTAACCAAGACACATACAAAGACAAAACACAGACAGGGACATTCACACACACACACACACACATTCGCGTTGAGGTGACTGTCGTTTGGTTCTGCTCAAAGTGACAGGCGGCAGTTCTTGAGTGAACGCTTAAATCCATAGACAATTATTTTCATTGCTTTAGAGTTCCTTCATGTGCCGTCCTTTGTGCTTTGTCATGTTTTTGTCGGGCTGGAAGAGACTGTAAACTTTCATTCGTAACAAATCACAAAAGGTAAATACATAGGTACACATAGACATTTACAATCAGCTGGATGTGTTGTGCTTTGACAGTGTGCAAAATTACGGCACCACCAACTGTAACAAACACCAGGATGCTATTACACGTTTAACATGTAATAAACAATAACACTATAATATGGCATGAGCTCCTGTGGCATAGTCACAACACAGTACGATTTCACATTAGTGACGTGTAGACCAGAAAAAGGGGTCGATTCTTTGTGTGTCACAATCTGGGCTTGTGAACACACACTTGCTTCTTTCTCATCACAAAAGAATGTGACACTTAGCTGTACAATAGATTATTATGCTTTTTCTCACACATTAATATGGAACGTCATCATCATCATTCTCAGACTGAGCATTATTGCATTTCTTTATCATTATTACTCCATTATCTTTGTATTACTTAGCAGAGAATTAACATGTGTGTGCTTGTGTGTTAGTCACTGCTAGGGGCTCCTTGCTGTGTCAGTGTGTGCCAGTACTCCACTTTCTTTCCTTTGTATTTTAGACACTCAAACCAGTGTTTCAGTCTCTCTCCTTTTGCGTTAATCCCCAATTCAACGCCACCTGAGAAAGAGAGAGAAAGGGAGAACAATAGTTTACCAAATGAAAAATAGCCGGGCTGCATGATTATGACCAAAAACATAATGAATAATTACACTACTGTTTAAAAGTTTGGAGTTGGTAAGATTTTTTTTATGTTTTTGAAAAAAATATTTTATGCTCACCAAGGCGGTTTAAAAAAATATATATCAAAAACACAGTAAAAAGAGTAAAATTATTAAATATTATAACGTAACCACTTTATTCTAATATGCCGATTTCGTATTATTATCAATGTTGAAAAGTTGTGTGGCTTAAAATTGTTGTGAAAACAGATTTCTTTCCAGGATTCTTTGATGACTAGAACAGAATTGATTTCTAATTAGTTTAAATTATTATAATTAATTTAATGCATCCTTGCTGAATAAAAGTATTAATTTCTTTCAAAAAAAGAAAAAAGAAAAAAATTAAATCTGACCCCAAACTTTTGAACAGTAGTGTATTTTCCTTGATATTGTAATTGCATTTTTTTTTGTGTTAGGAAACTGCATGCTATATTGGTCTAATCTATTTTATTTTATACTGTTCATATTTTACCCTGGCTAGTAATTAGATGCCTATTTATCTATTTATAAGGATAATAAAACTGGGCGAAGAGTGATGAGCACACAACCTGTTTTAATACTTGCTTGTCTATATTCGCACATAAATCGCACATGAATATTTAATTAATGAGGTAAGCATTATGGTTGGATGTTTGTTGATAAGTAACTCAACGTTACATTCTAGCACATGCTATCCGCTTTTCAAAATTATAAGTGTAAAACATTGCTTAAATAGGTACAGTACATTCATGTAATTGTTTATATATATTATATACATATTATATATATGTATATATAATACAGTATGTATTTGACTGTGGCTTCTGAAGTTGAGTTGTTCTAGACACTTCAGCGCATTTCCTCAGTCTAACACCTGAGCTTGCTCTGAATAATGAAAGTGCATGTGAATATGTTGGTGGACACAAGCTGCGTTTCATTTCATCAGGCCCCTCATGTACTGAGATTCTGTCCCGCTTCGATCACTCCTACACAAACACACACACACACACCTCACATCAATACCGCATGCTCACGGCCACGAGCAAGCCATGACAAATGAACCCTACGCATGACATCCCTGCCATAGGGAATGAAAAAAAAGAAAGGAAATAGACAGGGAGCGGGTGAAAGAAAGCGAGTTGGAAAGATCCAAGAAAATGTTAAATAAATACTAAGCTTCATTTCACTTGTCAATCCGAGACCTGCATCCTCCGTGTGCCTTCACGCCTGGATGTCTCTCACAAGCCTCTCCATTCATTTACATCGCTTCATGTCTTTACACTTCTCTGTTGATGCCCCCCCGCCCCCAATCCATCCCCTCTAAATCAGTAACACTGACATCAATTACTCTCACTGTCCCGATCGTTACAGAGCGTTCGTGTCATTCAACCATAAATAAACATGTCATTGCACAAAGCTCAAGAGCCTTTCTGTTCTAGTCTCTTCCTCTGTTTCTTTTTATTAAGGGACAGCTGAGCCAAAAATGAAAATTCTGTCATCATTTACTCACCCACATGTCTTTTGAAACCTGTATGATCTTTTTTCTTCTGTGGTGCACAAAAAGCAGTTATTTATAGCAGAATGTCCAGGCTGCTCTTTCATTAAAAGTGAACAGTGACCACAGCTGTCGAGCGACACTTTCAGTAATAAACAACTTAAATTTCAGTCTGTTCCTCACACGAAGTCATCATGTATGGTTCACATTGGACTACTGTTTTGATCCTTTTGTGATGCTTTTTTTTTTTTTGGAGCTTGACAGCCCTGGACCCCATCCACTTTCATTGTATGCAAAGCACACATTATGGACATTCTGCTAAACTTCTCCTTTGGTGCTCCAAGGAAAGAAAAAGTCCTACAGATTGAGAATGACATGAGAATGAGCAAATGATGAGATTTTTTGGTGAACTACCCTTTATATAAAAATATTTTCTTATTCTGCTCAGGAAATGTGACATGCATGTTGTAACATTCGCGTCTACAAGAACAAAGCATCAAAACAAAACATCTTAAAGGAAAGATCATGTCAAAATAAGTTCAGCTCTATCTGCAGCATCTGTGGCATGTCAACAATACTAGAGACAATCATTTGACTTGTCGCTCAGTTTGCATTTACATTGGAAGTCTATGCAGCAAAGCATTCTGCAGACATGTTCAAATCGAATCACTCTTATATACATGGTATATAACAGGTATATTATATAACTCTATTTTTATACTTTTACTTGTAAAAGTTGTGTGTATATATACATACAGTGGGTATAGAAAAGAATCACCCCCTTTAAAATAATCATATTTTGTTGCTTTGCAGCCTGAAATGAAGATGGACATGGTTTTTGTTTTATCCAGCTGTATTTACTCAGTGCAACTTATAACATCAATGTGAAAGATATAACACCGACATGTCAGAAAAAATAAAATAAAAAAATAAATAAAAAAACAGAATGACTGAGTTAGAAAAAGGATCACTCCCTTGTGTCAGTATTTTGTTAAACCACCTTTTGCTTTAATTACAGCCTTTAGTCTGTTGGGATATGTCTCTGTCTCTACTAACTTTGTACATTTAGACTTTGCAATATTTGCCCACTCTTCTTTGCAGAACTGCTCAAGTTCAGTTAAATTTGATGGTGACCGTTTGTGGATGGCAGTCTTCCTCAGATTTTCAATGGGGTTTAATTCTGGGCTCTGACTAGGCCATGCAAGGACATTCACCTTTTTCTCCTTCCACCACTGTATGCTCAGTTTTGCTTTGTGCTTTGGGTCATTTTCATGTTGGAAGGTAAACCTTCTTCTCATTGACAACTTTCTGGCAGAGGGCAGCAGATTTTCCTCAAGAATTTGAAGGTATTTTTCCCCATCCATATTTCCTTCTATCCTGACAGGTGCTCCAGTCCCTGGTGCAGAGAAACACCCCATAACAGGATATTACTGTATCCATGCTTTACTGTAGGAATGCAGTTATTTTGATGGTGAGCTCTATTGGATTTCCGCCAGACATACTATTTGGTGTTGAGTTAAATAACTCAATTTTAGTCTTGTCTGCCTCAGAATCTTCAAGGTGCATTTTGGCAAAGCTCAGTCGTGACTGCATGGGGCCTTTCTTGAGGAAAATAATTAGAAATTTTTTAGTTTTTTGTATTCATCTCCTGATATGTGCCTGTCCACAATTTTATCCTGGAGATTTTTTGGTGGGTGCCCATAGTTGATTGTTTGCGCAGTTGCATTACCAAGGACTGAACTGCTCCAGGAAAGCTCTTTTTATGCTGAGCTAATCAAAATGACCACAGCTGATCACAGTTGAAAGTCAAATGGCTTTGTGTGCCATTAAGAAGGTAATTAGCAACACCAGATTGAGTTTACAACTGATCGAGTTTACAACTCAATGATTCTGTTTTTTTTCTGACATGTTGGTGTTATATCTTTCACATTGATGTTATAAGTTGCACTGAGCAAATACAGCTGGATAAAACAAAA